TACCCGAAACAGAGGTAAGTATACATACTGAAGAGACAAAGTCTCGAGTCTCCGACTCATCGATTCCTTTAGACCCAAAGGGTCATTGCTCTGCAATAGATTCCCAAGAAAATAATCAGGTTGAGACAAAGGCTCGAAACTCTGCTTCCTCAAAATTACCAGATACCGAAGTAAGTATACCTACATCTAGCCACCTTGTGTCTGCCTCTGACAATAAATCTCGCCCTCCTATCTCTATTTTACCCGATGATCCAAAAGAGAAACAAAAACATGTTATCAAAATGATACTGGAGCAGTTTCGAAATTTGTCTTTAAAATATAGTACCGGGGATAGCGATTACTTTGACTGTTCAACGACCTGCCCTATATGTAATAAAGACCATAAAAAAGAAAATATAAGAGATAATGTAAAAGGTGAATGGAGTAGTGGTGATTTTGTCAATACAAAAACTTATCGCCTCAAATGCTGGGAGGCTTATCAAAATCCAATCCAAATAATAACAGTGAAAGCATAGAGCAATAGAATAAATATGATATCACGGGCTTTTTATTGACATGTTTTACGAACTTCTATGTCGATCCTACCCGTGATGTGATTGGTTGATAAATTTCCGACCGTTAACGGTTTTTTAATTATTCTGATTGGATGGATCACTACTCTGGAATGCGGACATGGTTGGTATGCTTATTTTTACGATGTTTTCCGGATAGAAGAGTCAACCTTTTTCTTTTTAACATGAACACGATTCTTTCGGGGTTTTATTGGGTCGAGATCATACCAGTCTTCACTATTTTTTTTTCGGATACGTTACACATATCTTGATCAGGCACGGAGTGCACTGCTCCGCAGATAAACCAACTTTTTTTCTATCGCTGGTTATCTATGTCCCACGGGTTGATCTCTGACTCGTCGATTTAAAACACATGACATCACTCCCCTGAGTCCCGTTATAACATGACATAGTGAATATAGTTTATTACGTATCAGACAATCCAGAATCGGATTGTTCATATGATGAACCGTATTTTTCAATATGTATACTTGGATTGAGTCGTTTTACTACTTTTTCACTAATATTTTCACAACTATCCAAATCAAGATA